TGTGACCAAATTTGGGGGATTCTGCATCTCGACATCCACTCGCAGGGGTTCTGCTAACCCTGCTGTGAACATATCCACTTGCTGGTCTGGTCGCACAGAGGACGCCCTCGCGAGGAGGGTTTGGAACTGTCGCTGGTATTTAGCAACTGTTTCGGTCTGTTTAAGGTTAATTAGCTCGCCCAGTGGGTTGCTAGTCAATGGGGGTCCGAACCGAAGAAGGCAATAGGATTTAAACTGGGGCAAACTGAGCCTGGGTTCTTCTTGCTCTAACCGATAAAACCAAAGTTGTGCTTCTTCTGTTAAATGAAAAGCGGCTAGGCTTACCTTGTCCTGGTCATTTGTCCGTTGATTCCGGAAGATCTGCTCGCAGCGATACAGCCAGCCTAGGGGGTCTCCGTTGCCGTTGTACGATGGGAACTCCAGCCTGCTGTACTTGGGGATGATGGCTGCTCCATGGCCGACGGACTGCTGTTCGCCGGAAGACTCCGGCAGATCTGGCCGGCGGTCGTTAGCTGCTGTCCCTCCGTCAGAGTTCCTTTCCTTGCTGGAAAGAAACATTTCCATTAGTCGTCGCAGTTCTCGCACTTCACCTTTGATCTCACGAACTTCGGAGCTGGTCTCCACGAGTTGGTGCTCGAGGTCGTGGACCCTAGAAGGTAGCTGCTCCAGATCTCCCATGACGCCTTGCTCTGATACCAAGTTGTTGTGGGCCCGGGAATAGGATCTCGTCACGGGTCCGTCCACAGGGAAAACCTCCTGTTTTCCCTTGTTCCTTCTTGCTCGTGATGAACCTATCTTGGCGTCTTCGGTGATTTGTCCAAGAGATCACCAACTCTCCTAACTCACTCTTGACTGAATAATTTGATATCTCATTCAATAATGGGGTCTCCTTAAATAGGAGATTACAAGAGTCCTAATCAAAGGGAGTCTCCTGGAGACTTCCAGTTCTATCTTGCTAAGGATAAGATAAGTTAATCCTAATCTAATAAGCTACTAACAAGATAAGATAGCTAAGCTAATCCTAATCTGATAAGCTATTAACAAGATGAGATAAGAGATAAGAACAATAAGATAAGAACAAGCAAAATGAGCTAATCTAATCTAGATAAGGCTGCTGTTGCCGAACTGGGTAGGATGAGCATCACTGAATCCTTGCTGCTGCTGGCGGTGGGCCCGGGGCCTGTTGCTGCCAGCGGCGATGGTACGTCTTCCCGAGGAAAGCGTCCATAACAAAGAACTGTTAAGTTATTTTAGGGGAAGGCTTAACCACACAATATAGATTAATGGTAGTAAATATATGCATTAAAATTGAAAGAAGAGACAAGCAAATAGGTGTGTTCAAGTATTAGGTGGGAAATTCTAAAAGGAAAAAAGCAGGCATACTCTATCATCCTTTTTAATAAATTTTTACAAATTACCTATAAAAAAAGATGTATTCCTTAAATAAGGCTAGCATGTGCCACCTATACCCAAATTGATTTTCAATATTTAGCATGGACAGACACTACAACTACGCCAAAAAATATTCTTCCCTACATGAAGCAGCCATTCAACCATCTTCCTCAATTTAGTTTGACATCATGATTAGAATAGTTATAAAATTAAAACCAATACTTGGCAAAATTTCTTGGAATTAATAATAGATAACTTTAATCCTTCTATAGTGATTAATGAAGATAAGGGTAGAATGGCAGAACAGAAACCTCCTGAGGAAGCTCATGTGCAAGTAGAAACAATGTTCTAGACCATCCGCCAACAGAACCATAAAGCAAGAAAGCACTTCCTAGAGCCATTCCGTCAGTAAAATTGTGCTGCAATATTTACAGAGAAAGTCTGAATACATAAAGAATATCAAGAAGTCAAAAAGAATTAAAGAAGAGTTTCTGGGTTGATATCAAGGGATACAAACTTACAACACCATCAGAAAAGAGATTCAAATAACCAAACACCAAGTTAGATGGAGGATTAGATCCTTTTTCACTCAATGCTATTTTTCCATTTGTAAAATCTGAATCTGGTTTAGCTTCACTGCCACCAGAAGTTGTGATTCTCTGTGCAGAACAGACACAATGAACAAAGTCAATAACATATTACACAACTTCATCATAACTTAAGAGTAGCCTATGAGTACAAATGCAGTTTAAAGTGTAGCACCATTATCATAGGCACCTTATCTTATTAAATAAGTGGCTTCAAGTAAATAACTAATGCGAGGAAAAATGCAATTGGGAGATAAAACTGTCTTTTTTTAATCAGCACATAAAAGTGAAAAATAAAGGTATGCATAAAGGGAATGCAGAGAGACCGCTTTTGCACAATAATTGAAATCAAACTACTAAAGCTGTCTTGGAAACTTTAAATTAAGTGTAGCCTGGAAGTACAAATACATCACACTAGTTCTTCTGTCGCATGAGATGCCCTATTAACTTTTTTTTTTTTTTGGATTACCTTACGAAGAACAGATTCCTGTTGATTTTCCTTCTCTACATTTAAAGCTCCAGATACTTGATCTATAACTTTGCCTTCAGATGATGTCTCCAATTCATTTCCATTCTTTTCATGGATAGACCCTGAATTCAGATCCTTGGGACCATCTTGATCATCCTTCAACTTGTTACTGTTCTTAGGATGATGATGATGGTGATGACCATGGCCCCATGCATATGCTCCTTTTCTCGAATGGTCTTCAACATACCTCACAACCTTTTCAACCAGAAGAAAAAGTACAATTCCAGCTGCAATAACCAAACATAAGAACCAGGAATTCAGGAAACTGCAAGTCTCTGTGTAGTCCTAACAAAATCTGATAAACAAACTGATGACAGAAGGCACCACCAACTTAAATTCATACTATTGCTAATGCAATTGATGCAGACCAGCTAGTGTTAGATTTCTTAGTAAGAAAGATTGGACAAAGCAACTGGAGAAGTGAAGGGTTTGAACACCTTTTACTCTTTTCTGAGTCATTTTTGTTTTCCTTTTGTTCTTTTGTTAGGGAGTCCACATAGGATCATATTTTTTGTTTTAAAATTATTTATAATATCATGTGACTTTCATGTGATCACTTAAGGGCAAGTTAGTTATAATGTCATTTGATGACTTAAGGGCCAGTCTGCACTAGGATGAATGTGTTTTTTTGAAGATAAATAAAAAAGAAATTATTAAAAAAGCAAAAAAAAAAAGGATATAATGGCAGGTGATGAGAAATCACCCCAAAGAAACAGACAAAGCTACCAAACAAAACAACCCCCACAAACATCTCACCACCAACCAAGAACAGGAAAAACCTAAAATAACCTTCTAATCCAAAACCTGCCCAATGCCACCCAACCAAAACCTGAAAACCACCTAACTGCATTCCTACTATTCCAAGATTCCCAACTGACAAAACCTTTATTAGACACCTCTCTTTTTCTGACACATAACTGATTAACTTTGCTCAACCTTTTTCAATTCTAAAAAAAACTTTCCTGGTGAACTCTTCTCCTCCCAAGAAGTGGAGAGCCAAAATCTTGCTAACCTGCACTTCTGTCTCAACCACCTTATCCATATCCTTTTTCTTTTCAACTGGTCTTGTTTGACCTAAAACCTGTTTCATCCTCACTCTTCACTACCTCTAAATATTTTCCAACCAGATCTGAACTCACATCACCAAGGTCTGCATCTGCCAACTCTGATTGCCCCTTGTCATGAACAACACCCTTCTTCAAATCTTGATCTTTGACTTGTGGTAAATCTTCCAGTTTTCCTTTTTTTTTTTTTTTTTTTGCATTGCTTTGGATGAAGTCTTCTTTTCTACATTCTCTTATTTACTGCAAGGACCAGCCCCAAAGATCCCCCATTTTCAGCCAAGAGAAAACTTTGGTCACATGTACCAACTGGCCAGTGGTTGAAATTCTTAAGTGTTTCGAAGCCAGAGAAGTTCCACTGATACCTCCACTCTCCTGTCAAACCTGCCTTAACTTCTTTCAACCTTCCTCCTCCCCAAATATCTCTCAAGGTTCCCTATAACAATTTCAACGTAACTTCCACCCTCAACGATACTCTCACCTGAGACTTGATCAGAAAAAAATCTATTAAACTCCAACTCTTCCAGTGCCAACTCAAAAGGACCCTGTTCAACATCTCTTGTCTTTGCGATTGAATTCTGCTCAACTTCCTTTTCAATTGAGATAATAGTCTAAAAGTCACTTGAAATCAGACATCCTTCTTCTGTCATTGCTGCACTCAACGGCCCACATGAGTCCACAACTAGCTCCCCCTTCTTACCACCAACAAAACCACTGACATCTGAACCACATAACACATCAGCTGATCTGGCACAGGCTCAAGACAAGCCTTCTGGCCTTTATCAAGCTCCTTCCTCACATGATGTCAACTGAAAGATGGTTTCTTCCTTCCGAAAAAAGGGCTGCCAATAACCGATGAAGAGTTTGGCCCATCTTCTTGAACAAATTTAGGATGACTGTGTTTTGGTTTGGTTTCTAATGGATGCATTGTATTGTTCCACTATTAAGGTTAGGCATTCTGAGGCTGAAATAATGCAATTTACTATTACAATTCAGTCTACAAAAGGGGTTAAACAGGGGCTGGCAATGATTGAACAAATAGGATCAATTTAAGGAACAGATGCTTAGCATTAGGACTTAGGATTAATTACAAAGGTCAACTAATTATTTTATAATAAAGTGGTAATAGGATTGAGAACAGATAAGGGTCTTCTCTATTGTGAATATCAGGTTGCTGTGACTGAGAAATGGGGGAGAAAAACAAATAAATAGAGAGAAAAAGTATACACAAAGAATAACGGGGCTGTTTGGTACTCTAGCAGTCTAGCTTTAACATGAATATGAGAAACAAGCAGATGGAAGAAGTGTTTGTGGAGGTGGCTTGTTGGAGGAAGACTGTTAAGGTGGAGGCAAAGCCTTTTCTGCTTGAGAAACTGAAGATTAGAGGGAAGTTGTGAAGGTGAGGAATTCAGGAACAAGTTATGTTGTTGAAGATTCGAGAAGCAAAGAAGGCAACCATTTTGCTGGTTGGGCTAGAGGTGATTCAATGGCTGAAAGATTTTGTTCTGGAAGCAAGTCTGAAAGGCAAGCAACCAGTATGGAAGGAGATGACCACTAATACAGGAACAAGGTATGTTGTTGAGTGTAAGAAAAATGCCAAAGGCCCTTTTTGGCACTTTCTGAGTTTTTTGCGCACGGGAAGAAGTGATTAGCCTGCTTTCTTGGGGGGAAAAAGGAATCAAAGGTGGAAAGCCATTTCTGAATCTCTGAGGGAGATGCTAATAAGACTGCAAGGAGATAAGATGGAGCTCTCTAGAGATTCAGAGGAAGCTGTGAAGGTGAGGAATTCTAAGCTGGCGGATGAACAAAACAGATCTGTCTTAGCAATGGCTGCTAGTAAATCCATGCTGCTGGTTAAATTTGGGAAGGAAGAATGGGAAAACAAATCGGTTGTTCAAATTAAGAGTCCGGTGAACACTACCAGCACTATGTGGAGTACAATAGACAATTTCCATGACATATTTCCATTTCAACTTCCATGGGTAGTAACATGAAATTTTACTGGAATCAACATATTCCCCAGTGAACATTACCAGCACTATGCGGAGTACAACAGATAGTATTATAACATAACTTGATGACATTATTTATCAAAAGAAAAACATAAGTTGGTGATGATATTGTAGATATGTGGAGTAACAACGTTATTGTCCGCCTAACTTACATGATTACCACTTTGAGCTATCTCAATAGTCATTTCAAACATGAAGTTAAATATTAGTTTTTGTCTGTGTAATAGATTATTTGATTGATCTATTACAACCATTTACATTTGAGTTCAAATTTTGCTTTAATTCATTCTAACATGTAATTTGGATTAGCTGAACATGGTGGCTGTTCAGCGGGCTGTGGAACCACAATGATATCCACACCAGTGATAAATTCACGAGTCCCACTGTGAGACGTGTGGGTTCCATGTATTTTATTACTGGTGTGGAGAGTTATCATTGATTCCACAGCCTGCTGCAGCTACTACGTTCAGCTAATCCTTTCTCTCTAACATGAAGCTCTTAATTTTAAGGTTTACAAGGCAACTTCAGAACGCATTCTTTTGTCTATAACCTTAGGCTGTGTTTGGTTTGAAGGAAAAAGTAGGGAAAGGAAGGGAAATGTAGGGAAACCTTTACAAACCTTGTATAGGTTTCCCTATGTTTCCCTACCTTTTCCTTTAAACCAAACACAGCCTTAGTTTCTTAGCTTTGTTTAATGATTTGGAACAAGATAATAATTTAAAAAGTGTGCCTATTCTTCTTTTATCATTACACACAACATACTATATTTTGCATATTTTACAATGTTTCCACTATGTCTATAATTTTTACAAGATTTCAATACGATATTTCTGACATGTTTCTTATATTTGGGTGACAGACATTTCCACTGACACTGACATTTTAAACCTTGTCCTATATTTTACCTTGCTAGCCTTGTAAATAGGACTTCTGCTCCCTTTTTGATAATATAACGCTTCTATAAATGCTAACCACAAAAAAGCTCCAATGATTGTTGTCCATCAAAGGTAAGTGGGAATAGTATAAAGTGTTTGAGTTGCTATGAAAACAGCCATCTTTTTGCATATGGAGTCACCTAAGTTCCTTGTAGTTTCTTGTACTTATGGTACTAACACAATGAATTACCTTTTACTTATCAGAAAAGTAGTCTTTAAAACATGAGGATCATGGTAAAGATGCCAATATAAATTGCAAATGAGGTCCTTCTCTTCATGTGGTTGATGAGGAGGCCATATTCATTGTTTTAAAAATGCAAGAAAAAAGGAACAAGGTGAGGCATGCACCTTTTTGAAGCAAGGTGCAAATTTTTGAACAAAAAATAAACAGTAATACAAAAAGGTATAAGATTTTAAAAGAAATTAAATGTTTTAAAAAGTCTATTTGCTTTAATTAAAATATATAAGCATGACATATAAAACATATTTGAAGTGAAAATAAGTGAAAGCAAATATATGAGAATTGTAGAAAGAGCCACAAACATTCAACAATTCAAGCATGTGATTTCAGTGTCTTTATTTATCTCCTAGTTGCATTATTTTGAGTAACTAGTGTGATATTAAAGTATTAAACATCTTGCATTCTTAATCTTGGAAGGTTGGCTCTCTGCCTCCATAAAGGCCCCTTGAAGCAATTCCAAACAAGTCCATGTGAGGGTTTGGGACAGTGCTCCCAACCTAAATGTTTGGTCCATATATATATAAAAGGGTTGATTCTGTGATAATTGCATTTTATTCCAATTTAAGATCAGGGATCAGATGTTGGTTGTACTGTTATTAACTTATTACTTCTTTAGTGGAAATTTTGCTATTTGAGATTCTATTTGCAAAAACTAAGGTTTCAGGTATTTAACAGGCCCTTGTTTTTATTTATTTTAAAAGTTAACAGACCATTATAAAGGTGAAAGGCACATAAAAATATATATATATATATATATATATATATATATAAAACAAAACAAAGGATGTGCCTTTCGAAAGGGACAATGCCTGGGTTCAAGTGATTTGCTGCCTTAAAATGTACCTCCCCTGTACACCTAAGATGTGCCTTTTAAAACACTGGTCATTCTCTAACTAGAGGCAATCGCTTCATTTAATTGATGATGAGGCCAACCTTCAGTTCAACAGAAGCTTCCTTGGGAAGCTGGCGCAGCTGAGAGTGGTGGCCTGGTGGGTTCTTGGAAGAGATGGCAGAACTTTTCTCGGTCTAGTTATTGTACAGAGAAGAAGGCTTAAGTAAGAATGGGGTGATTGGTACACTTACAGGAGCCTTGGTCACAATACAATCTCATAACACAATACACATGTTATGTGTTATGGGGTGATTTGCTTTTACTTTGAAGATGACATTGAGTGAAACAGAAGATAATGGAATGTGAAAAGAGAAGCATTAAAAGACACATAACATGTATAAAAACATATTACACATTTGCACTTACATAGAACAGACAATCCAACAAAGAGATCCTTTAAAGAATGTGAATGTGAAGGGGTATGTCCAAAATGATGATGATCATGACTATGGTCCATATGGTGATCATGAGAGTGTGAGTGCTCGCCACCTGTAGAGGAGAATATCTTAACATCAATCACCAAAAGTTGAACTGCTGAACTACCTTTTCTTTTTTGATTGATAACTTTGAGCTATTGAACTACTGAAGAAAAATATAATCAGAAAGAGTGGCATATAAACTCTAAAAAAAAAAAGTATTATAATATGACTAGACATGTGAGTAGGCCACTTGATAATTTGATGTAGTAAAATAGGTTTATATTGATCAAGAATAAAGAATTTACACTACAAAAGTGCAGAATACATGGAAAAGGTAGTTAGTGATTCAATAATAATTCAGGCAACAAAAATGTAACAAAGATGTGAGGTATAAATCATCAAAAGACTTTTCAGGATAACAGCAAGAGCCCATGCTATCATTCATTTTCCAAATTATTAACTTAGACATCATAATGAAGCATTATGAGAAGTGTGTGGGGGCTTTCTGAAAGACAAGAAAGCAGATGTGCTGCTGATACAGGAGACAAAACTTCAAAAATTGTCTGAGTAGTGAGAAGTGTGTGGGGTTTCGATCTGTGTGATTGGCTTGAAATCCCTGCTGTGAACACTGCAGGGGGTGTAGCTCTGATATGGAACAATAGCACTTTCAAACTAGTAGACAAATTTGTGGGGAACTTCTCAATCTCTGCCATGTTGCTTCGGGAGGCTAAGAATATTCAATTTACAGTAACAGGGGTGTACGAACCAGTTGACTACAACTTAAAGAATGCTCTCTGGGATGAGTTAAACACTGTCACAGGAAGATGGGAAGGTCCATGGGTGTTAGGGGGTGATTTTAATGAAATTCTCAGCCCTGCAGACAAAAAGGGGTGCAACCGGCTGAGTAGAGGAATGAGAAATTTTAGAGGTTTTATCCAAAGGTTGGAGCTAATAAATCTGCCATTAGCAGGAGAAAAGTTTACTTGGACCAACAATCAGGAAAACCCTTCGCTAGTTATAGGCTGGACAGATTTTTAATTTCACCTGAATGGGAGGATTTATTCCCTCTCACAAATCAGGAAGCAATGACGAGGGTAGTTTCTGATCACATTCCCTTAATCCTGGGTACGGGAGGATTAAAAAAGAACCCTCATACTTTCAGGCTGGAACATTGCTGGCTGGACTCAGAGGATTTAGTGACAAACACCAAAAGGTGGTGGTTGGAATGTTCTTTGAAGGTTCAGCTAGTCACATCTTCTTCAAAAAGCTGAAATGGTTGAAAGAAAAAATTAAATAATGACAAAAGGTGACTTCGAAGAGGGAAGGCGAAAAAAAAAAAGAAGAATGTTTGAAATTAATAGCAAACATTTATGCGGAGGACGAGAGGGGACCTTTAGAAGAGGAGAAGAGGAGAAGAAGACTTATTGCCAAGAAGACTTTAGATACTTTGCTGCACCAAATGGAAGCAAAGAGCTCGGACTATGTGGCTGAAAGCAGGTGACAATAATACTGTTTTTTTTCCACAAGGTGGCCAATGCTAGAAAGAGGGTTAATTCTATTCAAAAATTGGAGATGGAAGGAAGGGTAGTTCAAGAAGAGAAAGATATAGCAGATGCTTTTGTTTGTTTCTACAAAGGTTTGTTCAAGGAACTTTGCAAGATAAGGCCAAGGCTGGACGGTTTGATCTTCAATTGCTTGTCTGAGGAGCAGGTTTCAGAGCTGGAAAAATCCTTCTTACAAGAAGAGGTAAAGAAGGTTATTGAAGAGTTGGAAGGGGAGAAGGCACCAGGGCCAGATGGTTTCACAATGCTGTTTTTTAAGAAGTTCTGGGAGATCCTTGAAGATGATTTGCTAAGGGCTTTGGAGGGATTTCACAATACTGCCCTTGAGAGAAGCTTAAATGCAACTTTTATATCCTTGATCCCTAAGAAGAAAGGAGCAAATGAGCAGAAAGATTTCGGACCAATCAGCTTGGTTGGAAGTGTCTACAAGATCCTATCAAAAATTCTGGCTACGAGATTAAGGAAGGTGATGGACTTTTTAATTTCTAAATATCAAGGGGCTTTCGCCCACAACAAGCACATTAAGGAAGGTGATGGACTTTTTAATTTCTAAATATCAAGGGGCTTTCGCCCACAACAAGCACATTCAGGATGTAGTGCTCATAGCAAATGAGCTTCTAGACTTCAGACTAAGAAGTGGGGAGAGTGGTCTAACCTGCAAAATTGGCCTAGAGAAGGTTTATGATCATGTTAATTGGTCATTCTTGGATTATTTGATGAGAAGAATGCAGTTTGGCTCCAAGTGGAGAAATTGGTTGAAGGTTTGCTACTCAACTCATAGATTCTCAGTGTTAGTAAATGGGACAGCTAAAGGAAATTTTAGTGCTAAAGGTTTGAGGCAAGGAGACCCACTGCCTCCTATGCTCTTTTTAATAGTAATGGAAGGTTTGAGTAAGTTGGTTGATAGAGCTGAAGAGGGGGAGCTGCTGGAAGGCTTTCAGGTGAAGCCCAATGGGACTGCTATCCCAATCCTACAATATGCTGATGACACTCTCTTCTTTTGTAAGGCTTCAGAAGAGCAAGCTCTAAATTTGAAGTGCATTGGTGAACCTTGCTAAAAGTGAATTAATAGCTGTGGGGGATGTTGCTAACATTCAAGGTGCGGCAGACTTGTTAGGCTGCAAGGTTGGTAAGCTACCATCAAAGTATTTAGGGTTACCCCTAGGAGCCAAATGCAATTCAAAAACCATTTGGAACCCAATAATAGAAAGAATGGATCAGAAGTTGGCCACTTGGAAAGGTATCTCTCCAAAGGAGGGAAAGTAGCACTCATCAAGAGTGCCCTAGCAAGTTTACCAACATACTACATGACCCTTTTTCCTATCCCATCAGAAGTGACAGAGGTTTTAGAAAAAAAGATGAGAGACTTTTTGTGGGTGGGACGGAAGGACTCTCGTAAATATCATCTTGTTAAATGGGAGCAGATTTGTAAACCATTATCTCAAGGGGGGCTGGGGTTAAGGAGGTTAAAATCTTTTAATCTAGCTCTGCTAGGAAGTTGGCTTTGGATGTTTGCTACTGAGCCTGACAACCTTTGGAGGACAGTCATAGCAGAAAAATACAGGCTGGATGAAAGGGGTTGGAGTAGTGGTCCACCCATGCCAACCTATGGATGCAGTCTTTGGAAAAAGGTATAAGCAAAGTTTCCAACCTGTTCAGAAGAGAAGTCAGATTTAAAGTTGGTAATGGGAGAAGGATCAAGTTCTGGTTGGTTGCCTGGACAGGGGAAAATTCCCTTAAGGATTTATTTCCTACCCTGTTCAATGTGACTGAAGACAAAGAAGCAGTGGTTGCGGATGCATTTGTGTTAAGGAACAATGTTGTTTGCTGGGCCCCTACCTTCAGAAGGGACTACAATGATTGGGAGATTCAACAGGTGGGGAATCTCTTGGTTTTGCTTCAGTCCCAGGTTTTGAATTTGCAATCTGAAGATGCTCTAGTATGGAAAGGGAACAAAAGTGGGGAGTTCTCAGTTAAAGTTTTCTTCAATGCCATAAGGGGAGATGCTGAAACTCCCTTCTTCAATGCTATTTAGTACTCAATAAGATAAAAGTAGATATGACTTATCAAGCAAATAAAAAACTTAAAAGACTAGTACCACAAGAAAAACTAAAGCAAGATAATCATGGTTCATAGATATGACATTATGACCCATAGCATACCAAAAGCATGTGGCAACTGGTGAAGAAAAGCATCCCCAAGCATAGCTCCTGCCTGCAAACAGCAAAGTCATTCCACACCAACTAAGCATCAAAATAAAACTAGCATTTGGAGAAAACAAGAAGGAAAAAAGGAGAAATAGAAACAGAACAGAGTCCTTCCAAAATGTACCAATTTCAGCAATACAGAAACAATCTCAACCTACTTTTACAGGCCTCAATTTGCACAAAATCCATTACAAATTAATCCAAAATTAATTAAAGGGCCATTACTTAGTGCAATGGTAAAAGTAGCCACTTTGTGCAAAAATGCCAATGGTTAGGTTCTGTCTAGAGCAGCCACTTTGTGCAAAAATGGCAAAGGTTAGGTTCTGTCAAGTTCCACGCCCCCCCCCCTCCCCAAGACCCAGGACAGCTGGAACCAACATTGAGTAATGCCCATCCCATTTTGGGTTGACAATAAATGGGAAGTACAAGACCTTCAAGAAAAAAGAAGAATAATGTGGAATATTTCTTACAGGCATATAAAATAACATGTAAAAAAAAACTTCATTAGTTGTGTTGTGATTTTGTGAGAGGAAGAACCATAATGTCAAAACAAGAAACAGTCATTAAGGCTGGACTCTAAACTAGTCTTCTCATAGGTTGGTTCTTAACTCTTGAAGATTTTGGATCTTTTAATAAGTAGGATTTGTATTCCACCAGAAGACTGTTCTGAATGTAAGGGATATTGTAAAATAGAGGATGACACCTGCCTTTGTAAACATCCTTATACTCAAGGTTCAATGTATCAAGATGCACAATACAAAAAATTTGAATATCGTGTGTTTTCAACCCTCGATACTCACCCCTTTTAATCATTTTCTTTTGACTGTATGAATTAGACTTAATGTGACCACTGGTATAGTTTACAGTTGATTAAACATCCATAGAACTTATATTTTGAGTTTCAGTGGGTTCAAAAACCATTACGATATTCCCCGTATCAGATGTATTATATCGATACTTTAACCTTGTTTATACTTCATAAACATTTTTATTTGCTTTTTAAAAAACAAGAGTTTCCAAATCACAACAAAGAAAACAGAAAGGAAAAGGAGTCGTACATCTTCCTCCATCATTTTAGAGGAGAACATGTTTATAATTCGATTTCAATACAGGCTAGAGTTCAACAAGAGATTCTTCATCAAAAGCAACTAGAAATCTCAAAACTGCATTTAAGATCACAAAACCGAAATTATAAATTCCAATACATAGAAATTATAGGCTTAGATGTTTAACATTTCCACAGTAAACACTATGAAAATTTATGAAGCAAAAAATGCAAACAAGTTATCAAACCAACAAAAAGAGATCAAGAATCTAACCCCAAATACAGCCAATGAATCAACAACTGCCTTTGATGGTTTTCCTTTTACTGCCATATCACAGAACATTGGTATCATGACTTCAGATAGGAATTCTAAAACAAAAGATAATCTGAATTGGACAAGTATCAATGCTAAAGTTAATAATAGCATTAAAAAGTATTAACAAGAGAGATACTTACATAATATCACTGGCAAAATAATCAGGCAAATGAGGGAAGCCATGCTCACCAACAGTGAACAGCCCATCGCATGAATCCAGAGTTCTTTGGAGCATAAAGTGAAGGAGGGTAGGAGGGGAGGGAGGGAGAGAAGTATACAATGTTAGAATTTGCTAATCAATAATTAAGGATCACTATGGAAATTAATCATACTAAGACATGTCACACGTGCATAATGATTTCCGTTATTGCATATGTAGATCAATCAGAACAAGTTAAGGACTCCAGGTTATGAAAACAAGTATAAAATAAAGGGAGAAGGAAGTTCAATAGCACATTGAACAACCTGACTCCAGTATGGACTATGGAACACAATGAGACAATCTAGGACAAATGTTGTCTTGGTTCTGTCATACATTTCAAGTTGCTCCTATGTTGCTTAACTAAGATACCTCACAGTCCAAAGGAAACACATTTAGTGAGAGAATCATTGTTAAGCATGATAAGCTGATAGAATGAATGCAATAGAAGCTATAAATATATTCAAGCGTTTTAAGCCAGAAAATGGACGGAAAATGGCTTTCCATTAGAACAAACAGCCACCTTCACAAGTTCAAAGACATTGAAGTAAAGCATCTCCAGAGAGAAGATAACAAAACTTCAGATTCTGTATTTCTTTTGATCAAAATGCAAACTTGAACATGGATTTTCCAGTGGTATGTCTTCCTCCCGCTTGTTCTAACATATAGTTTGGCTTACCCACCAAAGAAAACTTTAATTATGCAGGAAGCATAAAAAAGAGGTATTGGAGCACAAATTAACGAGAACCAATCTTCAATAAGTCGAATACTTACCAATCCCAGAAAGGTCCGAGATCCCATGCTCATGATCGTGATCGTGACGGTGACCATGGTGCGACTCATGCTCCAACAATTTGAGATCTTCTTCTTCCGCCAGTTCCTCCGGGAGCTTCGACTTGAGCAGACTCTTTCCGTGGTGATGCCGGTGCTCATTCTCATGATGATGATGATGATGGTGCAAGTGGTGGTCGTGCTCGCAATGATGATGATCAGAAGATTCAGCTTGGCTGAAAGGACAAGACTCAGAACCCCCTTCGTGCCCTAAACAGAGCTTCAGACCCAAAACAGTGACCAAAATCAACACCAACCCCCTCTGCATCCACGAACCCGCCATTCTTGGAGAAATTCAGATACCCCAATTATCTGAGCCGACTAACTGGTGAAGCCTTCAAGTAGGCCTGCGTTTGCAAGTGCCTTGAATGGTTATGAAACAGATCGCAGCAAAGAAGAGAACGATAATGGCGACTATAACACCAAAAGTGAGCACATCCATGCCTCCTTTTTTTCCCCCTTTTTATTTTTTTTAATCTGATTCCATAATTTTAATTAAAATTAAAGAAAATATTTTCAGGGGAGGTAGTGCTGGCGCTAGCAATCTGTCACTGACTCACTGACACTCCCTAGTCCCTTCTTCTAATATCTCTCATGGAAATGAGTCTGAATTCCAATTTTTTCTCTTTCCCTTTCATCAGTTCTTTGCTCAAGATGATGTAAGAATGATCAACGGTGAGAAGCCATCGTCTAGTGGGTCCCACAGAAATATATATAAATAAACTCTCCTGACGGGTCCCAGCTAACAAGTAACAACTATTTCATAGTCAGTTAAAAGTGTTAAATTGTAAAAGTTAATAACTAAATACCGGAAAGACATGTTATCGGAAGAGATTTTGACGGGTCCTTAGCTAACAACTATCGGGCACTATTAAATCTGCCCTGGAGCTGACCGTAAAAGCCCCTAAATTTAATCAATAACACCTGACTAGGTACAAAATAGAATATCTCAGTAGCCCAAATCGAGGAGGCCCAAACTTTATGTGATAGCCCCAAGAGTCAGAGGAGATGGGCTGGGCTCCCCATTGCAACTTCTAGTTCAAAGTATAGATACACAGGGTGTATCGGTACTAAAAATTTTATATATATTATTATTTTTAATTACATATATATATATATATTAAAGAAAAGGGTTTTCAAGATAGGTGTTTTAAAATCCAAAAGATACGATATGATACGTTTGATATGGAGGGTATTGTATCCAAATTTTGATTTTTGATTGGATTCACCTTAATACCTCATGCTCATAGTAGGGTTTATAAAGTATAAACCATGGGAACCCAGGATATAAAAGATAAACTTAGGGCTGCAACTTGGACTGAGTTAATCCTAACTTAGGGTTAGGGTTTTTTTTGTTGAGTTCACTTTAAGGTTGGTCTATGGTTGACCCCTTGAACAACCTGGGCCAATCCGAACCCAAATCTACTTCTAATCTTAATGACAAGTTTTCATTAGTGGTTTTCTTTCTATAATTTCATTTTTTATCATTGCTGATTTCATGATCTTAGATTTTTAATAGGGCATCTATCTTAGTTCATAGTAAAAAATCTAATTATTTTAAACATTCTTTCTTTTTCACTTTTGTACCAAAAAGCCAATAAAAACATTAAACAAGCAAATATGAATAAAAATTATGATCACTATATGGTCATAAAAGTTCAGTTTAGGTTTCTTAGTTATAGAGAGAAGTTGAGATATTTTATTGAAATTTTAAAAGGGTGGGAGAAAGATCAGGTTGGGTCCTACCCCAGAGTCAATTTTGAGTTGAATTGGGTTGGGTTAGGGTTACAGCTGATTAGATCGGATTGAAAGTCGGGTTGGAAGTTCAGAACCTTGGTTTGGGTTAGGGTTTAGCTCAACGCCTCAACCCAACTCAACCCGGCCACACTTGCACCCCACTATTACACCAATGGGCTGTTTGGGCCCAACATAGGGTAACCTGGGTCCAAAAGTTGTTACTCTACTATTAAAAAAATAAAGAAAAACTTGCAGTTGGTTTTGATGAAGTCTAAGAATTCGTAGACATTTCCATGGAATGAGAGAAATTTTTTCCTTTTAAGGCTGAGATAATCAAAAAAGAGTATCAGTTTCAAAACTGATAGATTTCCACCCAATAGAAATCGCTAAGTGCACACCCTGCAAAGGTGGTGTCGGTGCCGAAGATTTCTAGTCATCCAAATATAATAGAAATAGAATCCAATCCATTTTGGACTTGTTTAAAGAATCAAATGGATCTTTAAGCAAAGAACTAGGATTAGCATGTTTTTACCCTAAGGCTTTCTTTGGTTGCAATGCAAATAAATTTGCACTGATGCGAAACTGTGATAGTGCAAATTATTTCAGACTTTTCAGTGTTTTAGCCTATTTTGTTTGATTGCATTATAAATGAAGTAAATTAAGACGTAAAGAAGAATAAAGTAAAACCTAAAATAAAATTAAACAAAAATTTGCATTTTTTTTCATTTGCATCCCTATGCATTTGTACTGATGCAAATAAAATTACACTGCAACCAAACACAGCCTAATTTCCAATGCTGAAGCAAACAAGCATGCCCTACAACATATTCAATCTGGTTATAATATAATTTTTAGACAAGCGATCCGTTAAATTTTGTTTAGCATGTAATTTCTTCTTGTTGCCAACAATGCCATGTAGTCAAAAAATGAGAAAATCTATGGTACCGGAAATACATGATAACGGTAAAGCTTTGACCAATCAAAGCACTCCCATGAATTTTGATTAATATCACTTGATTGGTCACTTGTTTTATGATCCCAGTTGATCAGTGGCAAGGTTCAAAGTATCGACACAGGCCAATATGCTAATAGGACATTTTTTATCGGCCTGTCTCGGTGCTTTTCTTATGTTTTATTTATTTATTTTTTAAAATCGGTTCAGAGGGGTCGGTTTAAGTCCTGACTACCCTTTGAAGCATGGTCTGACCTGATACAACCCCTGTAGGGGCGTATCGGGAAGCTCCTGACATGATACGTATCGGCCCATCAATACTTTGAACATTCATTGGTGGTAAACTTTTCTGATATCATATCTTTCAATATCATAGTCGAAGCCCCCCCCCCCCCCCACACACACACCCCAAAAAAAAAGGCCATGTAAGGTTCTCTATAAAAACATTAAAAATAAGGTTCAAAGTATTAATATGTGTTGTGTGTATTGTATGATACATAGTTGTTTTTGAATCCACCTATACGTTAAACACTAGGGGGGTGTTCTTTTTTCGGATTTTGAGAGGGGGAAAAGTTGGTCAATGGGATTTTGGCTCCCATTGACCAAGAATCTCATGACCAGGGAAAGTTTATTTTCCTGGTATAACTTACCCAACACTTGAATGGGACAAAAATACCCCTTTTAATAATGGATTTTTATGGATAAATTGGTCATTGCCTTATTTACATGAGAAATAAAAGAACATCGGTAAATGCACTTACCCGGGTAAATGTTTCCTAGGTAATAGCATTTACCTAGGTACGTAACTTACCGAAAAGTGAATGGGGCCTAGTAGTAAGGACATGTAGTGACTTTTGAAAGTTAATACCCTTCTTAGAGATGAGATGCCCGGGCTCGATTTTTGAAACTTTAAATATTTTTAATCTAATGCTTGGCTCAATTTTTGAAACTTTAAATATTTTTAATCTAATGCTTGTTTGGTTTGAAAGAAAAGGTTGGGAATGTCTCCTGCTTAGGCAGAGGTCATCTCCTGATGCCTAGAATTGATTTTCTTCAATTAAAGCCATTCTCTCTTGCCCGAAATCATTCCAAATTAGACCTAAATCCTTTTTAACATGTTATAATGGCCATTAAGGGCTAGTCAACCTATTATGAGGTTTGGTTAACTTTGATCCCTTAGTTAATACTCATGCCTGATTACACATGAATAAACAATAGAAAAACATATTCAATAATTTAAACTTTTTTCTTATGAACTTGACTTACTTTTATTCAATACTAGTAGAATGGCCTGTGCGATGCACGTGGTATTTGATATTGATGGTGATGTATGACTCTACTTTTATATCTCAGGCATAGATGAAAGTTTACAAACTGTTCAAGTCCTATGACAATTATATAACACATAAAAAAGACTATCCTCACAAAATGCCAAGATCTAAATTTTATAATATGCATATAATGTTGGTTGCAAATGCATTAGATTGAAATATTAGTGCACCAAATCAATGATAAAATTACATTCAACAACATTATATACATATATAGTTCATCCCAATGAAACACAAAATTTATGGAGAATAGGAGATTTCAGTCTTAACCGATCTCTTGTTTTGTAATAACCTAAAACCTATGAAAATAACTACTATTAGTGGTTAGAAGTAAACAAAGCTATTATGCTAATTTACACAAGTAGCCATTGAATAGCAGAAGTCGTTATCTAAGATGACTATTAAATGACTTACTTACATTTAAGCCTAAAACATTTTTTTCTTACTTTTTAACTAAGAGGAGATAAAGAAATTAGTTGAAAGAAAAATTTATCAACCAACCACTAAAGTAAGTATGCAAACACCTTCTAGGCATGTTGAGCACCTTCGCACATTTGTCCAAGAATAAAACAATCGAACAATTCATAATGTGTCACAATGTTGCATACGACTTAGGACATTAGTTGTAGGCCCAACTTAACAACCACACACATGATAACATACAGTCCTAGTGGCCAAATGCCCTTAGAAGACTTGGGCCTAATTGACAAACATGTCCAGGGCCCATGGAATGGCATTTTATATTTTCATTTTTCTATAATTTATGGTTTTCTTTGTTTTTTGTCATTTTTGTTATTTTTCATCAATTTTTATGATTTTCTACATTTTTTTTGTAAGTTTTTTGTGTATTTCTTTGTTTTTTTTGTAATTTATATTATTTTCTTCATTTTTTGTGTTTTTTATAATTATTTTGTAATTTATGTTATTTTCTACATTTTATATCTTTGTTTATATATTATGTATTTTTTATAGTTATATTTTTCTAGAATTTATGTATTATGTGAAAAATTAATGGGTTAGGTAGGTTGGGTTGGGTTATGGTAGGTTTGTGTTGAATCCAAAATGGGTCATTAGTGGGTTGATGGGTTGGGTTGAAGCTCAACCCAAACCTAAGTACTTAACCCACCCAATTTCCTTTTAGAAACGACAATGGCTTTGTTTTTTTTTTTTTTTTTGCCAACAACTATCATGCACCCTCATATAGAATTGGGATGTCGGAATAACAAAAAAACTAAGAGGTAGAATTAGTAAAAAAAATCAGGGTCTTTCGACCATACTAACTGAATCATTCTCATTTTTTTATATATGGTAGTGGATATAAATTTTTATTTTATTCTACAATTTTTGTTCATTTTTCTATAATTTATGGTTTTCTTTCTTTTTTGTAATTTATTTTTTCTTCAATTTTTATGATTTTCTATATTTTTTTGTAAATTTTCTCTCTGTTTCTTTGTTTTTTGTAATTTATATTATTTTCTTCATTTTATGTGTTTTTTCATAATGATTTTGCAATGACATATATACAACGGGAAAAAATAGAAAGTTGAGGGTAAAGTTGGA